TCATAAACAGGAGGTTTGGCGGCTGGATTAACGAGCTTGGATCTTTGTATGCGAGGATGGAGTTACATGTATACATGGGCAAATTTTCCGAAACAAAACATACTTTCCTTTTTGGCTCAATTCGCGTAAAATACATCCCTCACAGGAAGGTCATTGAAGGTCAGAGGTCGCGTGCCACGTAGAAATCAACAACTCTTGCTGTAAACACACACAAATTTCTAGATTTCATTGTTTATCTCAGAGCATCTGGCTTTAGAGAGATTAAGGCCGGACATTACATAACAACGCATCTGGCCAAGCCAGCCAACGGAGATCGGCTGTTCTCCATTCACAGGAAAACGTTACTGTGTGACACGACTGACAGCCTGACGGATCGCTAGAGACCGGATACACTCAAAATTGTCCTGGGGCCAGGTTCACGAAGCAGTTACGCAAGTACTTACGAACCTGTCCATCTTTTCTCAATCTTTGGCGGCTTTGTTTCCAATTATTAGACAGTTAATGAGCTCCGAAGCCCCAGGAGGCTGTTTATAACAACAGCAGTTGATTGGGATGTTTTCATGTTTATAAACTGTTTAATAAATTTAAACAAAGCCTTCAAAGAATGAGAAAACATGTACACGTTCGTAAGTACTTGCGTAACTGCTTCGTGAATCTGGCCCCTAGTCTCTCCCTTGCCCGGCTTCTTGAGGTTATCTTGAGATGATTTCGGGGCTTTTGTGTCCCCGCGGCCCGGTCCTCGACCAGGCCTCCACCCCCAGGAAGCAGCCCGTGACAGCTGACTAACACCCAGGTACCTACTTTACTGCTAGGTAACAGGGGCATAGGGTGAAAGAAACTCTGCCCATTGTTTCTCGCCGGCGCCCGGGATCGAACCCGGGTCCACAGGATCACAAGTCCAGTGTGCTGTCCGCTCGGCCGACCGGCTCCCTTACGCAATCACTGGAAATTACGACAAAACAATTTTTGAAGCTTGCACTTTAAGATGTAGGATGGTTCAAGAGCAGCCAGCACGTTATTTAAGGGAAAATGAAAAGCAAAGATTACACTAGTTCATAAAGCTGACTCACACGGCAGGAATAATACATTTAATACCTCAGTAAGACTCGGCAAAAGTGTACAATGTGGATATAAACTTGTACATTTATATTTAGGTAAAGAATTACACGTACTGAGCCAACGTCAGCCACAAAAAGGAGCTCTCTCTCTCCTCGAGAGGCTGTGCGCGCAGAGGTACAAGGCCTCTCAAATGAGGTGCAGGGAACCCATTTTACCCGGGGACCAGATTCACGAAGCAGTTACGCAAGTACTTACGAATGTGTACACATTTCCTCGATCTGTGACGGCTTTGGTTACATTTATTAAACAGTTTACAAGCATGAAAACATCCCACTGTTATTGTTATAAACAGCCTCCTGGTGCTTCGAAGCTCATTAACCGTTTAATATTTGTAAACAAAGTCGCCAAAGATTGCGGAAAGACGTATTGGTTCGTAAGTGCTTGCGTAACTGCTTCGTGAATTTGGGTCCTGGATGGTAGTAATTATCAAATGGGAGTCTGCCAGTACGGCTACATAGTACCATGTACGTGAGTACTCTCACTTTACACACACAAATCACAATAGCTTGATGCATCAAATGAACAAATCCACAAGGGCCGTGAAGGTCAAGTTAATTTCCCGGTTGCATTTCTTTTGACCATGTAGCTCAGTCGATTAAGGCTCGTCTAGGATCCTCTCGAACGTAGGTTCGAACCCTCGTCACGGACCTTGTGGATTTGTTCATTTACTCAAACTTTCTCAGCATAAGATATACAGCCAGAGTATACAGCCCGGGATTATGCATAAGGTCAAGCATATGTATTTTTGACAGCTATTCATAGATGTTTTAAAGTTAGTTGGTATGAAGGATAGTTGGGAATCGGTGTCCTATCATCTTGCAACTCAGTCTTCAAGATGAACAACTATGGGGGAACGATGTAATTGCGATAAAAAGCAGGTTTCTATTCTATCAAGTGCCTATAATTTAATCTTATGGGGGGGGGGGGGGGGACTTACACAGCCGGTTTATTTTTCCATTTATTAAACACCTCGTACCCATTCCGTGGGTGGTAATGGACCCCGTACTGGCCTCGGGAACTGAACCACAAAGACATTGATCCAAGCAACGGACTTGTTAAGCTAGTTACACAGTTTAAAATACAATCTTTCACAGCACAAGTGTTCAACAGCACAAGTGTTCAACAGCACAAGTGTTCAACAGCACAAGTGTTCAACAGCACAAGTGTTCAACAGCACAAGTGTTCAACAGCACAAGTGTTCAACAGCACAAGTGTTCAACAACTGGTCCACAACAGTTTCAATCGAACCTTTTAACATCCGTGTCGAGCCAGTATGTTGCATCATCCCGCAACTATACAACGAGTGGCAGTGGTGGAAATTTGAGTCATGTTATCTTGAGGTTATCTTGAGATGATTTCGGGGCTTTAGTGTCCCCGCGGCCCGGTCCTCGACCAGGCCTCCACCCCCAGGAAGCAGCCCGTGACAGCTGACTAACTCCCAGGTACCTATTTACTGCTAGGTAACAGAGGGCATTTAGGGTGAAAGAAACTTTGCCCATTTGTTTCTGCCTCGTGCGGGAATCGAACCCGCGCCACAGAATTACGAGTCCTGCGCGCTATCCACCAGGCTACGAGGCCCCCATATGTACATGCACAATCCACATTCGGCAAACCTTGGATATTTTACTACCATTTCTGACATTACATAGACTGAAATGCGCATGTATTGAACATCTATAGATAAAAATGTTAATGTTCGTTTGTTCAAAATCGCTACCCTGGAAACACAAACCGAAACTGTCTCTATTTTCCGCTTGTTACAACTTATAATAAAGTTGTTACATCTTGGCTTAACGTGTTTATGACGTATTAGAACGTTGTTACAACTTGCTATATTGGTTGTTATAACTGGTTAGGAGGTGTTAAAACTTGTTCAAACGTTGTACCAACGTCGTAGTTTCGGTGTGTGTTTGGCGGGTAATCTCCGAAAGTACTTCACCGACTGTTTTGAAATGTTCACACAACGTTCCATTTGCCTCCGAGCAGGTTTTTATATGCATACTATATAGATGTCACATCGGTGACGGTAAAAAAAAACATGCTTTTTTGAAAAATCTGTTTTTGTGTGTTTTTCATGCGAGGGAAATCTTCGAAACCTCTTTATCGATTGTTCTGAAATTTTGACAACGTTGCATTCAAATAGGCGCGTATTTTTATATATCTACTATATACATGCTTCACCTGTGACGGATAAAAAAAAACGATATTTTTGAAAAACAGCGCCATCTGTTGGACGTAAGGGCAAAACACACACTGTAATCTCCAAAAGTTCTTCACCAATTACTTTGAAATTTTGAAAACGTGGCATTCGAATAAGCGCATCTTTTTATATACCTACTATATAAATGCCACCCCTGTGACAAAAAAAAACGCGTTTTTTAAAAACAGCGCCATCTGTTGCACACAATGGCAACATGCACGCTATACCAAATATATCACGAATTCCATTTCAATGTTTCCGATTGCATTGATAAATTTGATTTTCATAGATTTTGATTTATTTTATTTAGTGAATTATTTTGTGTGACAGTGTGTTGAAATTCAGCTGTGTTGCTTACCATACCGTTCATTTTGCAAGTATAGATGCCACACCTGTGACTGGTAAAACAATGTTTTTCTTGAAAAACAGCGCCATCTGTTGCATGTAATTGCAACACACAAGATATACTAGATATAATTCCATTTCAATGTTTCTGATTGCCTTGATAAATAGAATTTTCTTAGATTGATTTATTTTCATTTTGATTGAATTATTGTGTGTGAATTGTGTTGGAATCGAGCCGTGTTGTTTACCAGACCGTTCATTTCGTGAGAATAGTATATTTATATTTTTTCATATTTTCATTTCATTTTTTAACCGTTTTTCTTATATTACAGAGATAGGAACATCAAATCACTTAATGTTCCCAATATTCTGATGGGAACATACAGTCCATTTAGGAAGGCAATGGACAAGGGAGTGGGGAATGGTTGGGAGGAGGAGGGGACGGGGAGGTTTGAGATAGTGGGGACGAGGGGATGGAGGAATGGAGAATGGTGGGGAGGACAAAGGGACATGGGAGTGGGGCATGGTGGGAAGGAAGAGGGGACGGTGGAGGGGGAATGATGGGTAGGACTGGGGGACGGTGGAGGGGGAATGATGGGGAGGACTGGGGGACAGGGAAGATTGCTGTGGCTCAGCAACACATGCGTTGCTGAGCCACAGCAACGCGTGGCCGGGAACTGCTAGTTTGAAGTAAAATAATGTTTTGAATTCCCCCCCCCCCCCCCACATAGTATCAATTCGGATATTTTACATCAGGGTCAGGTCTACGCCAACAGGCAGTGCAAACTCCCAGGAGGCCCTTGTAGCAGAGTCTACACCTATACTGCAGTAACTTCTGCAAGTCTAACCTTGTGTGATGACCCTGGAGTGTGGGGTAGCTCCTACATAACCACATGAACACAGTCCATCATCCTGCTTTGGTAGTACTTTCAGTAACCGAGGACCATCGGGCATATATTGACGTAAAACTAAATTAACGGTACTATTAATTTAGTAGAAAACGTAGTAGAAAACGGTCCTATTGAATTTGGACAAACCATTAAAGGCTTTGTACTCTTGTTGTAAAGACAAGACTAACCTAGCCTTCCTAGGCCTAGTAGTAAATGTATGTGCTATATTAGGCCTAGGAATATTTAAGTGTCTAGCTTTATTTCTTTCATACTATAAAATGAATAGTAAATTCTATCTAATTGCCTTTAACGTCAATATATGTACGATGGTCCACAGTTACAAAAAGTACAAAAATTAAAATGGGTTTACATACATTGGGGTAACCAGGAGGGGACGCCAGCCTCACCAACCCGCACCCATGAGCCAAAGTAATAAAAGTCGTCCATTATGTATAAAATATATTTACCAAAATATTTTAAACAGTATAAAATGTGTGGCGAGTTGACGCCGTGGGTGCAGTCTCATACTGCCTCCGCTAAGACACCATTTGCTAATAAGATGCTTCAATGAATGAACTCGCCGGTACCACACAAAGAAACAAGGTAATTCAAATAAATTTTTACAATCTTAGATAAAATTATTTCAGTACTCTTAATACCTGTATTAACTTTTCCCCTATTATTAAGTCCCTATTTCGATATTGTTTCGCTATGTTTGAATGCCAAGCGTTCATTGAAAAGACTAGTCCCCTTGGGTAGTATGTCTCATTGATATTCCCAATAATACTTCACCCTGGACAGAACTTTGGCTTTAATTCATCAACTGGACCTACGAACTCTTACTTTACAAACCTGGACACCCTTTACTTCCCTCTTAACTACACATAAATTTGTCTAGTGCTACTCTTTGGCTGGATTGTCCCTATTTGCTAGGTAGCCTGATCCACCACCTGACGGTTGAGCAGCCGTCGGCGGGCATTAGTAAACCACTGGTTTATCTGCTGGACAGCGAGTCCCGTCTGTTGCACCAGCAGCTGCTTCTGGTCTTCGTTGGGGTACGGGTCGTGCTGATGGGCGAGCAGCCATGAAGACAATACCCGGATCACCTGTAACACAAGACCTGCGTTATAGCCTGTACCAGAGTTATCTTGAGATGTCGGGGCTTTAGTGTCCCCGCGGCCCGGTCCTCGACCAGGCCTCCACCCCCAGGAAGCAGCCCGTGACAGCTGACTAACTCCCAGGTACCTATTTACTGCTAGGTAACAGGGGCATTCAGGGTGAAAGAAACTTTGCCCATTTGCTTCTGCCTCGTGCGGGACTCGAACCCGCGCCACAGAATTACGAATCCTGCGCGCTATCCACCAGGCTACGAGGTCCCAGAGTCTGTGGGCGTCGCCTCAACACCTACTCTGCTCGCGGCTCAGAGATCATTTGCCTCTGCGGTAATTAACATTACAAATGAGTCAAAGTTCTACAAACACTACAAATATTTTTAATTCTTTACCACATGAGCTTGTTTCCACTTTTGTATGCACATTAACACACTTTAGTGAAATTGTCAGGTTTGCAAGGAACTTCAAAACACTGTTCCTTTACCCCTCAACAATATTAAAGGCTCCCACACATCTATCAAAATACAACCCGTTCTCGCAAATTCGTAAAGTCAATATTGACTTATTAACTACGTGCATAGGTGATATACTAAACATAATAGATACCCTTAAAAAGTATCATAGAAAACACCGACCTCACCTAACCTTGTTAGTATCTTAAGATAAGCATCTTATTGCTTCGTAATTACAATTATTAACCTATACCTATTATAGGTTAGGTAATAATTGTAATTACGAAGCAATAAGATGCTTATCTTAAGATACTAACAAGGTTAGGTAAGGTCGGTGTTTTCTATGAATCTTTTTAAGGGTATCTATTATGTTAAGTATGTCACCTAGGCACATTTAATAAGTCAATATTGACTTATTAAATTTGCGAGAACGGGTTGCAAAATAAGCCCTCTGAGACCCCAAACCTTTCTCGTGATGCCAATTTAAAACCACATAAACCTTGAAAAAATCAAATCAATTTTGGCATTCCTAAATTTAGCTTTGCACAACCAATTGTCCGAAGGCTACTTTACGAAAAATGGGAAGAAAAATTAAAACAAAATGACCCTGAAAATTTGACAAAATTGCAGCTAATGATCGAATTCCGAGCCAATATGACTTCCAGGTGAAATCTGGAACCTTTACTCGCTTTACCAGATGAATTAATTATCAAAAGAAGGCACCGAGCCGGGGAAGGCAAGTAGCACCATCAAATGTGCAGGATATTCAAAATCCTCTAAATATTAAAGGATGCCAATACGAGACCAAAAGCCCACGATACCCAATATCCGATTCAGCAAGGATTCTATCGAGGGACTAAGGGGACCACAAGAGTGTCAGTAAACAAGACACACATCCTTGGATATCAGAACGTTCGACAAGGATATGCACAACCGTAAAAGGGACAATGCAATTTAGACAATCAGGAGCAGGGTGGCACCGAGTATCCCCGGGTTAAACGTTTATGGCCAATACGTAACCTCGACAGAGCTGTTTCCCGGTAGGGAGGAGGGCCAAGGGGTCACGCTACTCTTCACAACACGCAGCTTGTTACTAGTAACAAGTCCATCGATCCTGCCAACGGGCATGGATTGAGGAATAAAGGGAACTATCAGGGCGAAGTGCCTAGCCATCACGACTATATAGTACTTTGAAGAGGTCAGGATAAGGGTTTGGGATGGGACGGGGAGGGGGGGGGGGGTGGAAGGAATGGTACCCAACCACTTTGACGGTCGGAGATTGAACACCGACCTGCATGAAGCGAGACCGTCGCTCCACCGTCCAGCCTAAGTGGTTGGGATTGAGGAATGAATTACTGGGTAGAAGTAAACACCTTTGCGGGATATGGAACAAGGGCAGATTGCCGCCTTAGCGGGAGCGTCTGCACGGTCGTTTAAGGACACTAATATGGCTGGGAACCCAGCAAAAAAACTACCGCCATACATCTGCTGGAGATAAACGGCCAATATTTAATTTCGACTGCCACAGAATGGACCGTATTAAGGATACCAGAGCCATGAAGGCCTTGTCAGAGTCAACTACAACAAATCAGATTGACAACGAGAAAACTGTTGACAGGAGATGATGTTGGGAGGAAAAAAAGTGAAATACGAGGAAGAGGGGAAAAAGCAACCAGCAAAATTAGTGAAAGCAGCAGCAGAAGCAGCAGCAGAAGCAGCAGCAGGAGGAGGAGCATAAGGCTTCAATAGGACAGAAGATTGTCCCACGGAGCACCCCACACTGGCAGCCGTCCACTAAGCCCCTTCACCACGGCAACGGGCTGGAAAAGGATGGGGTAATCTGCTAAAGAAAAAGTTTACTCTTAAACACCTGCAAATGTTCTACTCGCCAGTGGATATATTTTCAGCAATCGAAGCCATTCAGGTGGTTGTGTGACACGACATGCGCACTCACGACTATCCCAATATATATATATTTACCAAATTAAAAAAAGTTGGTATTTTTTATACCATTTCAAAAACAGTTTAATGAAATATTTCGCATTAAAAGAATTCTTCTAGTTCCGAAAATTCAATGCTGGAACAATTAAGATAACTTGCTTCCCGAGGACATGAGCAAAATTTACTTAACTGGCACTTCATTAAAACTGCTGCATTTTTGTAATAAAAAAGGTCTTTCAAAAAGACTCTTGAAAGATCAATGGAATTAGTGAAAAAACTCAAAGGCGGCATTACAGAACGAAATGGTGCAACAAATGTGATAAGATTTTAAATATAGAAAAACAAAAACTAGATATAAATGGCAAAGTCGAGTCAGGAATGACCGAAGTAAATACTTCTTCAGACACTGTTGTCGAGTTAGGGAACAAATTTGGTATTGCCTACTTTTATTTAACAAATTTATCTACCCAAACTCCTACCCGAGGAATTTCCTCGTAAAGGCCTTCTGCAGTTTGAATTATGTTTTGTGTTTATACTGTTTCACGGTCGACTCACCTCCTTCGAGTAATACTGCCTCCTCCGTGGCTCAGGAAGAGAGGGGGAAGCGGAGGAAGAGTCGTATCCCAGGCAGGAAGACGGGATGGGGGAGACGGAGACCAGCATCTCTTCTAGCTGCTGAAAGGCCTCGTCTGCTCCATACATCTGGGACTGTACAGCTAACCCACCTGCCGAGAGGAACAGTGATTGGCGTGTGCAAAGAATCGAGTCTTACATTGTTAGAGTTCATAACTATTCAATGTTAACTATTTCTGAATATGAAGATGATTTTGCGACGAAATCTAGCCACTTAAAACAAAAATGCGATTTACAACTCAAATTTCTATTAAAAGGGCATTCTATAGGTCTGTTAAACTACATTTGTTAAACTTCCAGCTATCACATCCTGCAGTTTTGCTTCAGATGTTCACTAGCGAGCTTACCAGACTGTTCTTTATGCTGGTGTGAGTGGACCTGCTGCTCCTGCTGTGTCTGGAGCCGAGGCTGCTGCTGAGGTAAGGTAGTGTCGAGGGCGTTGAGCAGGTGGACGGGGGTGGAGGACCGCACTACCTTCGTAAACCTCTGACACATCACCTCTACGGCCGCTTCCACCTCCGCCGTCTCTGCCTCCACCGCCTTGCTCAGCTCCGCCGTGGAGTCTGCAATCTTCTCTAGAAAGTAAAAGTATACGTTACTATATGTTGCTACGAACGTCCCCAGATATTAGTGAACGCAATACGGGAGCATACATTTTGAAATGCAGCGTTATGAAAAAGTGATTAAGAATTACTAGACACATTTGACGCAAATGGACAGTTAGAAAGCAAATTCAGGTTTTCACTCCATTAACCATCAAGTTAAGGATACGTATCACAAAATGTTATTAAAAATAAGGATGCTTCATACAGCTTCATTAAAAATGGGAAGCGTATCTTCCCATACTGTAAAGAGCCATTTAATAAATAAAGAGCAAACAAACACGTGCATATAGACGGGCAGGGAAAACCCCCAAAAGGCTTTTTTCCCAGATATACTAAAACTAGAGAGAAGACTGGGCCTTTGAAAAATGTTTAAAGTAACTTTTAATGACTAGGAGTGGCTCTGAAATATGTTGTTTTTATTTAATGGAGAAAAACCTTTTTGCATTTTAACTACACCCAAACAAATCTCTGTAGGTAGTGAAAGGGAATTTAGTTATCAGAGGTTAACAGAAAAAGCCAAACAAATCCAAGAAGAAATTAACCCATTTCCAGGTTCCCCTCCCCGCCAATTTTTTTTTTTTCCCCCTCCCTATTTTTTTTTAATCATCTGCAAATGTTACTGATCTTTTTACAATCTATTTCTATAGAACAGGTGCCAGAGGTACCCTGAACCACACTTCCCAAGTTTGACACTCTAAGACTTACTATTTATATTTAATTTCGTTCATTTTATCTTTAAACTTTCCCAAGTTCACAATAGCTAAAGAGAAAAGCGAGACCTCGAGTAAAGTCTCTTATGCTTACCCAGAAGAGAAGCGTGAGCGTAGGCAATAGCCTCCAGTATGACGGCGTCAACTGCTTTCGTGTCAGCAGAGGTAATTGGGTTCTGGTAAGCTCGCGCCGCCTCTGGGTGTCTGCGCAGGTACATCTCTACCAGTTCATTCGTGGACGAAGGCAAGTAGCCCAACAGCAGCGCTGAGGAAAGTGGCCGTAAATATCTGCAAGAACTGATATTTAATGATCGACCTCTCAAGAGGCAAACTTACTTTGGACATTTAAACAATCTTAACAGTGACTTAAAGAGCCTTTAAGATGAATTTATAATGCTTGGCTAATGTTCTTTAGGTCCTGCGCTGTGGGATTGTTATCGGTTGCCATTGTGCAACTTTAGACATTACTTAAAATTCTATTTAGTGAAATTAGTGTACGAGTTTAGGAAAGTATGCCAAGAAATGTCTAGATTCTATTAGTTTATGAACAGACCACGAAACATATCCTAAGCACTTGTCAAATTAAGTTAATCAAAAATACTAAAAAATCTAAATTGTTTTTGTACTTTTGTAATATTAGAGCACACGTACATGCAGTACTGGCGACTCATCATGCCACACCCACGGTATGGGACTAGATATAGATGGTATTAAATACCAATCGCCCCTCATACATGCATTCATCAGTGGCGGGGTTAAGCAACCGACTCTTACAATGAACTAGAACTAGTGAACTAGTCAATTAACAGTCTCCGTGGTGTAGTGGTAAGACACTCGCCTGGCGTTCCGCGAGCGCTATGTCATGGGTTCGTATCCTGGCCGGGGAGGATTTACTGGGCGCAATTCCTTAACTGTAGCCTCTGTTTAACGCAACAGTAAAATGTGTACTTGGATGAAAAAAAGATTCTTCGCGGCAGGGGATCGTATTCCAGGGACCATAGGATTAAGGACTTGCCCGAAACGCTACGCGTACTAGTGGCTGTACAAGAATGTAACAACTCTTGTATATATCTCAAAAAAACTTTTCCTGATTGAGGAACGGCATTTGCCACTATCTGTCGAGGACTCTCAAGTTTGGCATCTGCCGATTAATAATATCCGAATAATTATTCAAGATGATTTAGGTCCTCAACCCCCAACCAACCAAGTGACTGACATCCACCAACCGACATTGACGGAGCCCTTGTCGTAGTAGTGGTCCGTGACAGTGAGGTCTCTCAGCAGAGGGAAGAGAGGGTGGGTGCGGAAGGCTGTTGACACGCCGAGCACCACATCTCTGAGCAGACCTCTTCTGGAGGGAGCTTGCCTTCCAGGGCCTTCACTACCCTATTAAATAAAAAGGAAAAATGTCCAATGGTGTGAACAGGTGAAGCCCAAGCTTCACTTACAGTACTATCAAATATGCGTAATGCTGAAGCTTTATATTATATGGCAATTTAATGGTCAGGGTACTTAAGATTTGTTACAAGAACAGCATTAGGCAACTAACCAAGAGCTGCCTCTGGCAGAAACATTACAGAAACTAAGCCAACAGCAGCAATACCTACCAGATGACGGTGAAGAAAGTGATCTATTGAAGCGTGTAAAGGCTGAATGCGAGGGTTCTGGGGCCGAGCATCACTGTTCTGGGGCCGAGCATCACTGTTCTGGGACTGAGCTTGAGAACTGCTGTGCTGGGCGGGATGGGAGCCACAAGTGGATATCTTATCACAGTCTTGGTAGCGGGTCGGAGGCGTCTCATTACTATCGTGTTGGTAATGGTCTTCGTTATCACAGCTTTACGATTGTTAAAACTCCCTAACTATGGTCAATCAAACAATGATCATCAAATTTATAATAAAATCCATTATTAATAAACTATTTAGCTATTATTTTTAAAACTATCCCATACCTTGTCACTCCGTTGATTTGGCCCTTCGCCTGATGTTTGGAAAGGCTGCGTACCTCGCCAAGTGAAATGAAGGAATTTCCGAGGGAGGCGGCCACTAGTGAGGAGGGGGAGAGGCATGCCAACTCCAGCGAGGAGGAGCGGGCTCCCTCCGCCTCGCTGCCCCACCACGACAATATGGACGGCAGCGATTCAACCGACGTTTGCTGGGGGCCGAGACCAGACACGTTACTGTACCTTCTTTAAGTGGGAGCTTGAGTTGGGGGAATTACCGGAGGCTGTTACTTTTAGCGTGTGGGGGTTTTGGGGGTGGGGGAGTATGTCTGAAGGGACGGTGAGAATGCAAGGTGGCTTTGAATGCGAGGAATAGTTGGGAAGCGGATAAGTATTATTTAAATGATTACCAAACAAAAAAAAACACCAAAAGACTTAATAATGGTCCAGGATGGACTGAAACATGTTAAGTCGTATAATAACTTTATACTCTTTAGTTAATAGACTAGTACAACTTAAAGAGCCTTCGTCTTTTAATCACCCATCGAATCATTAAACAAAAAAGTTACTGCAATTAATTTGTAATGTTTAGTGCAGAAAATTCCTAAGTTAATTAGGCAAAAATTTCAAAAGGAAAAACCGCTTGAGCGAATGTGGGAGCAAAAGAAAGTGAACACAGTGCATACAACATGCTGGTAGACATGCATGAGCAATTGAACAAGATGGTAAAGAAAAACAAAAAAAAAAACTGGAAATAAGCAAATGGAAGAACTACGGGAAATCTGTATCAAGTAGGAAGCAATATTTTGGGAAAAGTGGGAGAAAAGGAGAAATTGAAATTAAAGAAAAAAAAAAAACGAAATTTGTAGAAAGAACTTTTAGAGTTTAAAGAAATGAATTGGGAGCAAAATGAGTTGCGAACAAGAACTGCCCAATTTGAGGCGAGATCAAGAAAAAAATCTATAAGAGGCAGATTTTAACGCAAGTGTCAGGAGAGAATGAACCATCGAGGCTTAACTTCAAGGAATGAGCCCCGAGTACATGGATCATGTGGACCCAAGTAGCTAGAAGAATTAACTTTCACCGTTATAATTAATAAAAAACCATCTATGAAGCTAGAACTTGCCTGGGAGCCAAGGTTGAGTTTGGGCGTGTGGCCAGGGAAGAAGTCTTCCGGAGTGGCCATCATGAAAGACATGCTAAAGGGCGCTGCTGTCAGGCTGTCTCCTCGACCTGCTAGCCCGTAGGTCACCTCCCCCAGCCCCTGGGGAAGCAGGTACCATTTTCACACACTGCCACACTTAAAAAGGCGACGTAACGAAGCTTTTTCCCCCAAAATTTGGAATAAGACGGTCCTATATTCAGTTTTCTCAGTTCTGGGTAATTTATAAAGGCGAAGGGAGAACAACCTATTCTATACTGAGGTTCTCGACTTTATCAAGACTTACAGGAATTTTTTTTTTTTTTTTTTTTTTTTTACACACAAGGACTTACCTGCCCATGTCAGTACTCGAGGGGCCGTACCTGCAAGTTAGTGGTAGCGTGTTGGCCGACGGAGGAGCTAAATAGAGGCGTGACCGCTGGTGTAGCTGGCAGCACCTTCGTCGAGGTGCTCGGGGAGACCCGTCGACATGTCGCCTTCCTTGTACACTCGCTACTCGCCTGTGCTGCTGCAGGAGCTGGTTGACCGGGGTCCTCCGGCAGGCGGTGGTCGTGGCCGTCACCGCCACACTCCTCACGGTCACGCTCTAGCACATGGCGAGCGTTCACAAAAGAAAAGTTTATATACAAGCTGTAAGCAGTAATGCAAAATTATTAACAATTATGTTTCTAAACAATAGAACTCTGCACTTCCCGGCCCCCCCCCCCCCCCATCAGCTAGCCATGTCACAAACCTTTCCTATACATCATTTAGCCCGCCCTCCTGCCCCCCCCATTCCACGTACTATTGGGCCAACTTGTATACACACACTTAAAGGTCACGACAAAACCATCTTGAACTATTGCCATTATCCGGCCAACGGGGCATTTGCCTCGCCTCGTAAACAAAGGTGTACCAAGGTCAACATGCTCATTAACTCTTGCCTCTCGCGTATTTATTAAATCCGACGTCGACGGATTACTCCAGAAACCCTAATAAATCAACCCGCAGTGACCGACAGCCTCGCAGTGACCGACAGCCTCGCAGTGACCGACAGCCTCGCAGTGACCGACAGACCTCACCTGCACACTCCCTGAGAGAGTGAGCCAGTCTCTCGAAGGTACATTCGCCCAGTTGAAGATAAAGACTGCTATCCGCCGCTGCCATAGTTGCACAGGTGTGTGTCCACAGGTCGATGTCAACAAGTGCCATATGTTCTGGCGACAAACAAACTGCACCACATTAACCACGGCGTTGTCTAGGGGGAGGGTCCGGCAAGACTCTCCACTCAAGAGTGAAGTCTTTAGCGAAATGAACCAAATAAATAATGTGATCCTTGGAAACTGTCGTTGAGTTGTTAATTAGTGTTTTCAGTAGCGTATATTATGTCAGCGCCATCTGTTAGTAGGGTTATGACAATGTGCATTTGGTCAGCGCCATCTGTTAGTAGGGTTATGACAATGTGCATTTGGTCAGCGCCATCTGTTAACAGGGTTATGACAACGTAGGAGACAACTAGTTATATAAGTCTTCAGACGTATCCTATTAATTTTTTCTTCGGCTGATATTCATTACAAACTACATTAAAAATCTGTCATAATTAAACTTGTGTGTATTTACTATTTGTATTTACTACTCGTGGCAGCATAATCGAGCTATTTAGCTCTTGGATCCCCGCTTTTCTAAAAAAAAAATTCCTGATATGGCTACTGCATATATTTTTCTCTAACACACACACACACACACACACACACACACACACACACACACACACACACACACACACACACACACACACACACACACACACACACACACACACACACACACATACTCAGGAAGCAGCCCGTAGCAGCTATCTAACACACAGGTACCTATTTACTGCTAGGTAACAGGCGCATCAGGGTGAAAGAAATTCTTCCCATTTGTTTCCGCCTCAGCCGGGAAACGAACACGGGCCCTTAGGACTACGACCCCCAAGCACTGTCCATTCAGCCGCGAGGCCCCTGTGTATGTGTGTGTGTGCTCACCCAGTTGTGATTGCTGGGGTTGAGCTTTGGCTCTTTGGCCTAGCCTCTAAGCTGTCAATCAACTGGTGTACAGGTTGCTCAGGCTATTAGGCTCTATCAAATCTACATTTGAAACTGTGGAGTCAGCCTCCACCACATCACTGCCTAATGCATTCCATTTGTTAACTACTTTGACACTGAAGAAGTTTTTTCTAATGTCTCTGCGGCTCATCTGGGTACTAAGTTTCCACCTGTGTCCCCTTGTTCCTGTTCCATTCGTGCTAAATAGTTTGTCTTTGTCCACCCTATCAATTTCTCTGACATTTTTTCTCATGGGAATCTTTCTCTCTATTTGACTCTTGCAGGATCTCACCTCCCAGATGCTACGTTGTGTGCAGTCTCCTGTTCAATTCCCCTAATTTCATTACTTTACACTTTCCTAAGTTGAAGTCTAGTAGCCATTTTCTAGACCATTCCTCCAGTTTGTCCAGGTCATCCTGTAGTCTCTGCCAAACTTCATCTGTCTTGATTCTTCTCATAATGTTTGCATCATCAGCAAACGTTGAGAGGAATGAGTCTATACCCTCTGGAAGGTTGTTTACATGAGTCTATACCCTCTGGAAGGTTGTTTACATGAGTCTATACCCTCTGGAAGGTTGTTTACATGAGTCTATACCCTCTGGAAGGTTGTTTACATGAGTCTATACCCTCTGGAAGGTTGTTTACATGAGTCTATACCCTCTGGAAGGTTGTTTACATGAGTCTATACCCTCTGGAAGGTTGTTTACATGAGTCTATACCCTCTGGAAGGTTGTTTACATGAGTCTATACCCTCTGGAAAGTTGTTTACATGAGTCTATACCCTCTGGAAGGTTGTTTACATGAGTCTATACCCTCTGGAAGGTTGTTTACATGAGTCTATACCCTCTGGAAGGTTGTTTACATGAGTCTATACCCTCTGGAAGGTTGTTTACATGAGTCTATACCCTCTGGAAGGTTGTTTACATGAGTCTATACCCTCTGGAAGGTTGTTTACATGAGTCTATACCCTCTGGAAGGTTGTTTACATGAGTCTATACCCTCTGGAAGGTGGTTTACATGAGTCTATACCCTCTGGAAGGTTGTTTACATGAGTCTATACCCTCTGGAAGGTTGTTTACATGAGTCTATACCCTCTGGAAGGTGGTTTACATATATTAAAAATATGATGGGCTTCGTTCCCACCCTGCTTCACCTCCCCCCCATACGTTTCACCCCACTTCAGCCCCCCCCCACGTTTCACCCCACTTCAGCCCCCCCCCCACGTTTCACCCCACTTCACCCCCCCCCACGTTTCACCCCACTACACCCCCCACGTTTCACCCCACTACACTCCCCCCACGTTTCACCCCACTTCACCCCCCACGTTTCAACCCACTTCACCCCCACTTTTCACCCCACTTTAGCCCCCCCACGTTTCACCCCACTTCACCCCCCACGTTTCACCCCACTTCAGCCCCCCCACGTTTCACCCCACTTCACCCCCCCCCACGTTTCAACCCACTTCACCCCCACGTTTCACCCCACTTCACCCCCCACGTTTCACCCCACTACACCCCCCACGTTTCACCCCACTACACCCCCCCCACGTTTCACCCCACTACACCCCCCTATCCAAACCCTTCACCCCCACCCCATCGACCTGATATTCTACTCCTAAGACCTCGTACCATCTATCCTCAACTCATTTACATATATGATGCTTACTGGTTTCTTGTCAAAACATAAATAATTTACTTTTGGTTTATCTTCCATTATAACGAGCATAATTATTATTATAATTGGGGGCTTTTGCGTCTCAAACAAGAACAAATAATTACTGATAATTATCGTAATTACTGCAGTCAAAGATCCAGCCTGTAACTTGCACCTTAAGCTGGTGAGGTATTACATTGGTCAGTGGCTATCGTGGTGGCATTGATCTGGTTATCGTAGTCGTTATGGTGAAGCATTGACCTGGTTATCGTAGTGGATATGGTGAAGCATTGATCTGGTTATCGTAGTCGTTATGGTGAAGCATTGACCTGGTTATCGTAGTGGTTATGGTGAAGCATTGACCTGGTTATCGTAGTGGATATGGTGAAGCATTGACCTGGTTATCGTAGTGGATATGGTGAAGCATTGACCTGGTTATCGTAGTGGATATGGTGAAGCATTGACCTGGTTATCGTAGTGGATATGGTGAAGCATTGACCTGGTTATCGTAGTGGATATGGTGAAGCATTGACCTGGTTATCGTAGTGGATATGGTGAAGCACTGACCTGGTTATCGTAGTGGATATGGTGAAGCATTGACCTGGTTATCGTAGTGGATATGGTGAAGCATTGACCTGGTTATCGTAGTGGATATGGTGAAGCATTGACCTGGTTATCGTAGTGGATATGGTGAAGCATTGACCTGGTTATCGTAGTGGATATGGTGAAGCATTGACCTGGTTATCGTAGTGGATATGGTGAAGCATTGACCTGGTTATCGTAGTGGATATGGCAGCGATTGTGATGACGGAGGAGATGGTGTATTGCTGTGGCATGTTTTCGCGGTGTTTGTTGTGTTGGTAGTGGTGGTGTGGTGGTAGTGGTGGTAGTGGTGGTGTGGTGGTAGTGGTGGTGTGGTAGTAGTGGTGGTGTGGTGGTAGTGGTGGTGTGGTGGTAGTGGTGGTGTGGTGGTAGTGGTGGTAGTGGTGGTAGTGGTGGTGTGGTTGTAGTGGTGGTGTGGTGGTAGTGGTGGTGTGGTGGTAGTGGTGGTGTGGTGGTAGTGGTGGTGTGGTTGTAGTGGTGGTGTGGTGGTAGTGGTGGTGTGGCTGTAGTGGGGGTCGGAAGATCGTAAGGAAGAAGGTCGTAATGTCGGAAGATCTTACCTTTAAAGAACACAATAAAGTAGCCGTCACAACTGCAAGAAAAATGACAGGTTGGATAACAAGAACTTTTCACACTAGAGATGCTATACCGATCATGATACTATTCAAAACGCTTGTGCTCTCTAGAGTGGAGTACTGCTGCACAATGACAGCCCCTTTCAAAGCTGGAGAAATTGCTGACTTGGAGAGCGTGCAGAGATCCTTTACTGCTAGAATCCACTCAGTAAAACATCTAAACTACTGGGACCAACTAAAGAGCCTAAATCTGTATTCCCTTGAGCGCAGGCGGGAGAGATACATAATAATCTATACGCGGAAAATAATTGAGGGGCTGGTCCCAAACCTGTACACAGAAATTACATTATATGAGACCAGAAGGCATGGCAGGATATGCAGAATACCCCCGTTGAAAAGCAGAGGTGCAACAGGTACTCATTGAGAGAACTCTATCAACATCAGAGGCCCGAGACTGTTCAACACGCTTCCACTACACATAAGGGGCATAACTGGCAGACCCATCACAGTGTTCAAGAGAGAACTGGATAAGCACCTCCAAAGGATACCTGATCAACCAGGCTGTGACTCATACGTCAGGCTGCAAGCAGCCGCGTCCAACATCCTGGTTTATCAGTCCAGCAACCAGGAGGCCTGGTCGACGACCGGGCCGCGGGGACGCTGAGCCCCGGAAGCACCTCAAGGTTACCTCAAGGTGGTGTAGCTGTAGTGGCGGTGATCCAATGCCGGTGTGATCCTGTAGGTGGTGTCGTAATTATTCTTGATAATTGTACCGATGGTACGAATGATATCTTATTGGTGTCAAGCGATGAGCTCGGGAGAGACAGGGAATTTGACACAGAGAGAGAATTAAGAAGACAGACAGAAAAAGAGAGCAAAAACACACAAACAAACATAGGCCGATCATGTGGCCCGTCCTCCCAGCCGTCACAAAGCACAGCCCAAACATCCCACGCAGAGTAAACACATCTCTGTTTGCCTGAATTCATCAGCCCAGGGGATTTACCCAACACACCTGAGGGGAGAGGGAGTTCCCAAATATTCTTTTTCATTTGCAGGATTTGCGTCGTTATCCAACAGGTGAGGAAGAGAGAGAGAGAGGGGAAAAGGGCAGGGAGGGGGGGGGGAAATGATGGGAGGGAGAGGGCAGGAAGGGGAAGTAACGAGTAAAACAGGGAGGGAGAGAGAGAGAACAAGAACGGTAAAATCAAAGGAGATGATTATGGTGGTGATGGTTATAGTCTGTGATGCTGTGAAGGGGGAGTTGTGTACCTGTGTGTCTGCTCACCTATTTGTGCCTGCAGGATCGAGCGTTGGTTCTTTGATCCCGCCTCGCTAGCCTTCGGTTGTTTAAAGCAACGACTCCTGTCCTTCTTCTCTATCAA